GAATGTTCTGCTGCCTGCAACATCCTCCAGCACGACTGGTTTGGCAGTGGGTCAGTAATGGTGTGGGGTGGCATTTCTTTAGGGGGGCGCACAGCTCTCCATGTGCTCACCAGAGGTAGCCTGACTGCCATTAGGTATCGAGATGAGATCCTCAGACCCCTTCTGAGACCATATGTTGGTGCGGTTGGCCCTGGGTTCCTCCTAATGCAAGACAATGCTAGACCTCATGTGGCTGGAGTGTGTCAGCAGTTCCTGCAAGACGAAGGCATTGATGCTATGGACTGGCCCGCCCGTTCCCCAGACCTGAATCCAATTGAGCACATCTGGGACATCATGTCTCGCTCCATCCACCAATGCCACATTGCACCAGACTGTCCAGGAGTTGGGGGATGCTTTAGTCCAGGTGTGGGAGGAGATCCCTCAGGAGACCATCCGCCATCTCATCAGGAGCATGCCCAGGCGTTGTAGGGAGGTCATACAGGCACGTAGAGGCCACACACACTACTGAGCCTCATTTTGACTTGTTTTAAGGACATTACATCAAAGTTGGATCACCCTGTAGTGTTTTTTTGCACTTTAATTTTGAGTGTAACTCCAAATCCAGACCTCCACGGATTGCTAAATTTGACTTCCATTGATATTTTTTTTTTTTGTGATTTTGTTGTCAGCACATTCAACTATGTAATGAACAAAGTATTTAATAAGAATATTTCATTCATTCAGATCTAGGACATCTTATTTTTGTGTTCCCTTTATTTTTTGGAGCAGTGTATAAACAGGTGGAGATTTTGCTTTTTAATATCTACATTCCTCTACTCAATAAGAAGGATTTGATGAACAAGATTTGAGATGGCATAGAAGATTTTATCCTTGGCTGTTCAAATACCCCACAGCAGCAATAATTATTGGAGGTGACTTAAATGCTAGGATGGGTCCAAACAATCAAGCATTATTTAATCAATTTAAGCTCCATTATGATGAGAATGAACCAGAAGAACCACTGCATTCCAGACAATTTAAAGACCCTAAAGCAAATTGGGCAGGTTTATGTGTAAGACAGATGACTTAAGTTTGGACCTTTGTATCCTTAATGGTTCCACAAAAGGCGACTACCCAGCAGAATATACCTATCAGGGAGCAGGAAGAAAATCCAGTTGATTATTGGATAATATGACCTCCAGAAGTTCTTGAAAAAGATGGAGGTAGACTCACGATGGAAAGCAATCACAATTCAGTAATCCTTACTCTCACATTATACCAGAAATCTCTAAGGACTGGTTCAATCTACCTACCCAGGCTAGAGAGCCAAAATACCCAGGTAAAAATTAAATGGACTGAGAAAAATGCAAAGGAAGTTACTAAATGGCTGTTTAGTGCCAGAAACAATAGAACTTCGTACATGTCTACTAAAAAATAAGTTTGAAGGATCATACTTAGAGGGGTTTGAAACTTTAATTTCAAATTTGAAATCGGCTCTCACTAACAGAATACTAGCTCAATCCAAAAAGCCAATTTTAAAGAATAAAAGTTGGTTTGATAGAGATTGTGTGCAACTGAAAAGGACATATAACAAAAAGAGTATAGGAAAAGTAAAAATACTCCTTCTGAGGATCACACTCACTACTTAAAGCAGTTGAAGGCACAATATAAGACCTTGCTAAAAGAAAAAAAAAAGTGCAGCTCTGAAGGAGTCTTGGCATAGATTAATTGCAGCAGTCCAGACAAAAAATACATCCCTTTTCTGGCACATCACTAGAGGATTGGGGAAATCCCTCCTGCCCCAAACTAATCAGTGGGAAGAATATTTTAGAGAGCTATATATAGACCCTGACTATGTAACTAAGGAGAACCAAATTAGTTTGGACCAAACTCCTTACTGGCCCCCAGTTACTCCAGGAAAGAGATCCCGGTTGATCAGAACCCTCAAGGCTAATAAGGCACCAGATCCTGATAATGTCCTGCCAGAAATAATCAAAAAGAATGCCAGTTGGTGGGCTCCACTTTTAGCATCTCTATATCTATAGAAAAAACGGGCCATATGCCAAGAGATTGGGGATTAGCAATTATCATACCAATTTATTTAAAAAGGTAATAGAAATTATAGATCTATTAGCCTTCTGAATGTATGCCAAACACCTAAACTATAAACTTCAGGATTGGCTAATTTCCGGGGGAATAATCAAAAATGAGTAAGCTGGTTTTAGAGAAGGAAGATCTATGGTGGATCATATCTTGGTATTTCACCATCTGGTTCAAAAATACATGAATAAAAAAAATCCTCTTGTCGTGGCCTTCCTTGATTTTAAGCAGGCCTTTGTTTCAATATGCAGGAACACCCTCTGGGAGAAATTAAAACACACTACCATCAATAAATGCCTCCTTTTCCTCATACAAAAATTGTATGCTAATTCCACTTTGAAAGTGAGGTGTAATCCTCAAGAGACTTTAACCAGCCCAGTAAGGATACAAAAAAGGGTACAGCAGGGTTGCATCCTATCCCCCTCCCTTTTTAACTTCTACATTGACCGTCTGATCAACCTCTTACACAACCCTGATTTACATCCTCCTAACGTAGCACAATGTAAAATCCCAATTCTCCTATATGCCGACGATGCTGCTATAATTTCACAAACTCCAATAGGACTGAAGAGAGCAATTATGGCAACACTTGAATTTTGTAAACAGAATAAGTTGGTTTGATAAAAGTTTTGGTTTTTTCTAAAAGACCTAGACAATATTCCTGGAAAATAGAAGGGTATAGTTTAGAACAGGTCAGGACATTCAGATATCGTGGGGTGGTTTTCCACTCGCAAGGGACATGGAAGGCACACATTGCATCACACATTGCAAGCAGCCTATAAGTCTTCAAATGCAATTAAACATATTCTTTTACACCGGTGGAGGGCAGTTAGTACCTGCAGCCTTAAAACTTTTTGAGGCCAAAACATTGGCACGAATTCTATATGGGGCACAAACAGGAATTCTTGCAAAGTCTTGCTAGAACCTATACAAACCAAATTCCTGCGAGCCATCTTAGCTGCACCCAAAGGCACTCCAAATGCCCAGGTAAGAATTGAGTCAGGCATGCCTCAAATTCAGGTAAGGGCCTGCAAGATGATGATCATTCGTTGGCTAAAAATGCATTTCTTCCCAGAGGGACTGACCCCTCTGGTACTGACTGATATCTACCCCTCCCCCTGGAAACAGGCAATAGACCACAAGCTGGGCTCTTATGGGCTCTACCCAGTACGAAGGTCCCTAGGCTTTGACCAAGCAAAGCAAGTAGTAATCAATAGAATTAAGGACATGGAGTTCCAAGAACTAAATAGGTTGGCTCGCCACAGCAGGGACAGAATTAAACAGGGAGTGTGGGAATCAGCAAGATATCTAATGATCTGATCTTCCCAAAACAAAGAACAGCATTCTTCAGAGCCAGATTTAATATTCTCCCATCAGCACTCCTTCAGGACAGGTATAAGAAAACACCAATAGCAGAACAGGTATGTATATGTGGTAAAGGAGACATTGAACATATCTCACATGTTTTATTGTACTGTGAGTTATACAGAGTTTATAGGTCATTGTATATTCTCCCCTTACTAGAAAGACTGTCAGGAAGGGCAGACAATTTTTATGTAGACTTTCTCCTCCAGGATTCAAACCCAGCTATTATGTGTGCAGTGGCAAAATTCTGTGTTGCTGAAATGTCTAGAAAAAAAATGGTTGCAGAATTATAGCTGTCAATTTGTGACTATTTTTGGAGATAGAACAAACTTTGGAAAATGGTATTTACACACATACATATTGGCTCTCCACTCATATAAACCAGGGAGTGCCCCTGTTTGAGAACATGTATTTTCTTAATGGATGTTTTTATCCACTATTAATGTACTATAATGACAGTATTATATATATATATTGTAAATAGTGATGTCTATTGCTGGTCTAAGACCATAATAAAGTTATATTCTATTCTAATTGTGCTGTTGGAGAAGATTCTTGACAGTCTCTTGAACTGCAAGGAGATCAAATCAATCAATCTTAAATCAACCATGACTTTTCTTTGGAAGGACAGGTATTGAAGCTGAAATTCAAATACTTTAGCCACCAAATGAGAAGAGAGGACTCACTGGGAAAGAAAGACTCATGCTGGTAAAGACTGAAGGCAAAAGGAGAAGGGGATTTCAGAGCATGAGACTGTCATTGATGTGGTGGGCATGGGTTTGGGCAGATTCTGGAAGACAGTGAAGGGACAGGGAGCTTGGTGAGTTCTGTCATAGGATTGTGATGGGTCAGGCATGGCTTAGTGACTCAACATTCTACAAATGATTGGTTCTAGCTTCAACTTGTTAACTACTGTATCAGAGTGAGAATGGTGCTTTAACAACCTGTTTTCTTCTGTAAGCAGTCTGGTACAGAACATGCTTTTGTGGGCATTACTGAAGGATCTGGAATAGGAAAACTGGTTCCTCGTGTATTTATGGAATATCTTGATTAAATGGTATGGCCATCTCAAACTAATTATTGTAGAAACTACCACAGCATCAGTTTGATACAGACACAGGTAACTTGCAAATTTTCAGAGAGAACATTTATTGACTAAAAGGGAGTGTTGCCTTTAAACTTGTAAAGTGCCATAAAGGATAAGTCTGACTTCCTGTTCCTGCACCCACACCTACACTAAGAAAAGCCATTTCTTATAAAAGGCAGAAGTCATATAAAATGTGCAACTGCCAAAATTGCTAATCTACTTGCAAGTGGAAAAATGTCATGAGGAAGAGAAAGAGCTCTGAAAACTGTACTGGGTGAAGGTGGAGAGAACTGAAACATATCTGGCATGAAGTGAACTAATGGTGATCAATAGCTTTTTGTAATAGAACACCCAATGAATGTGCAAGGCCCCGAGAGGCTGACTCTACCAGATACATTAATTTTACCTGATTCCCAACGTGAAACATTTATCTCCCTCCATGGGAGAGTAAGCCCTTCAGTTCTTTATTTGTTATGACAATACTGTTTATTCAAACGAACAAAGACATTATTGGCCACTCCGTTTTATGCTTGTCTTGTTTTCCCCAAGTCAGTTGCTGAATGAATGGTTGTTTGAAGAAATCCTCAACTTTTAAACTGAAACAGGGTTTTCCTTCCATATGCATGAAAATGCAACTTATCCTTCTTTTTAAAGGCCTATGAAAAAGTCCAGAGCCGATGAAAAGGAAGCTCTTGTTTTCAGGCTGGTGCTCAGCAAAATCTGAAGCTAACCAACATGAACCTCATCTGACTGTTTCCTTTCTAAAAAAAATTCTAGACTGTCCTTTTAATACTAAGTGTCCTTCTTTACATTCAGCAGCTTTATTCCAGTGTCACGGCTTTCTGTTTCAGCCTAACCGAAGATGAGAATAGGTCTGCATATGGGTTTAGGGACCCCAAGGTAATTTTTTTTGCAGTGTCTTCCATAGGGAACAGCTGGAATACTACAGGTCAGAGAAGCAGAGACAACTGCTGTCTCAGATTTCTTTTTGGGACGTAAGAAATGTAGCTCTATTTCAAGCCTATATCTTTATTTCTACATAAATAAAAAAGTCTGAGGTGGTGGGTCTGGCTAGCCAGCAATCATAAGATGACAAATTCCTCAGCTGAGGGCTTCTTTATTCTGTCCCGTTTACTATGCTGTTGGACTTGCATGGTTTGCTGGGCAAAATGGGCACACATCTCCTCCAGACCATATTCCTGAGCGCAGCCCTCCACAACCGAGAACATGGGATATTTTTCTTTGGCAGCTGCATAGTTTAGGATCTGCAGTGGGAATGAAGAATAATGAACTAGTACAATCCATTTACTTGCTATAAAATTCAGGCAAGCAGGCTTGACATTAATTTTTATTAGGCCTGGATTTTGTTCCATTTCTGACTGGAGGAGCAATTGTTTTAAAATGGCTTGTAAGAATTACACAGAACTCACAATTTATGATGGAAGCTTCCAGTTTTGTTGTGCTGAAGAATCTTATCTTAAACACAGTGAGTAAAATACTAATAGCTTCTTTTAAAGCACGAGCCTTTTTAAAAACTCACATCCCAAGTTTCCAGTTTCAAATTCTACAAATAAACACTTACCGTATTTATCGGCGTATAACACGCACTTTTTCCCCCTGAAAATAGGGGGCAAATGATGTATGCGTGTTATACGCCGATGTCCAGGGAGCGGAATCCTCTTTAAGGGATCCCGTTCCCAATAGTGCCTAGCGGCGGCGCAGCATCGTGACGTGATGTCAGTTCTGAGCTACCCTTATTTTTTTCCTGAAATTTCCCTCTTAAAATGAAGATGCGTGTTATACGCCTGTGCGTGTTATACGCCGATAAATACGGTATTTGTTTCCCCAAATTTCTGTCAAGTTCTATCTTTAATCCAGAGTAAACACTGTAATTCAGAGAATAGCTTGTAAGTAACCCAGAAAAATATAATTCTTCACCTGAGTTAAGTCCAAGCAGAGATGTTCAAATTCCATTCTGTGACGTACATAGAACCCAATAGTACAGCTGGGATCCAACTTCGTGAATGATGTTTTTCGAGGATAATTACAGTGGAAAGTCTGGAAAAGAGTTAACAACATTAAAGTTCTCCAATTTTTTAGATTGCCTGTCTCTAGAATCAACCTTCAAATGAAGTCTTAGATAATTCCACCATAAACAGGAACTGATAAGATTGAGAACAGACATCATAAGTCTCAATGCCTCTTTCTGTAACTGGAAAAAAAAAGATTATTTCAAAGCCAAATATATAAGGCACTACAATATAATAGACGGATATCAAAATAGCTTTGCTTTCAAGATAATATGCTTTTATATACAAATGTACGGAGTAGGTTTCACAGTCCAATCTCATTATCTTAAGAGAAGACAGCATAATTGAGATACACGTTTTAAAGAAGAAAATTTAAAATAAGCTGTGAAATTATTTTCAATCTAAAAAACATAGTTTCTATAGTCTGCAACTCATTAGCATCCTTAAAACAATTACATCACATCTTGATGTTCAAGAGAAGATGTTGGAATTGTTATCTATAAACAACCCCAACTTTATGTCACCTACCCTGAACTATGATACACAGATCCCTCTCTTTTAAAAAAAAATTAAAAAATAAAGTTTAAATTTCATATATTTAAAACATTTAAAAAGAAACAAACATATAAACAAATATATATATATATATATACATTTTGCAGCAGGTATTGAGCATTGGTTACATTCTTCTTTTTTTCTTTTACTGCATAACATTGACATGATCTACCTTGTTACAATACCTTCCTTGTTCTTTTGTTTTAATTTCACAGAATACTTTATAATTAAATGCATGTCCTTCATAATTTCATACCTTATTCAGTTATCAAATGTTGCTTTTTCTTTAACCATTCGTACCAACAGTTCCAAACTTTGTAGTATTCACTATCTTTGTTGTTTTTTAGTAATTTGGTTAGGCTGTCCATCTCTGCACTCGTGAATTTTTTTAATGACCATCTCCTCTGAAGGGACAATAGACAGTTTCCAATTTTGAGCATAACTTATTCTGGCTGCCGTTATAATGTGCAAGATTAAATATTGATTTTTTTTTCTATTTTTGAGTCTATCATACCCAACAAGGTTTCGGGTTCAAGTTTTACTTCTTGTTTAGTTATATTTAGAATCCAATTTTTGATATTTTTCCAAAACTTCTGCGCATATGGACATGTCCACCACATATGGAAGTACGTTCCCTGGGCGCAGTTACACTTCCAGCAGTTTGGGTGGATGTTCGGGAACATCTTAGCCAGTTTCACGGGTGGCAAGTGCCAACGATACACCATTTTATAGAGATTCTCTTTGTACGAGGCTGACATAGTTTGTAATTTATTTCCCAATACGTTCCCACTTGTCTAATTCAATACTGTGGCCCACATTTTTTGCCCAAATTATCATACACTCCTTGACTTTTTCTTCTTTTAATTTATAATCCAATAAATACTTATATATTTTACTAATCAGCTTCCTTTCCTCTCCATGCCAAATTTTATCTAATTCTTGGTAGGTCATGTGAAAACCAAATTGTTCTTTATCTTTTCTGTAATGCGATTGCATCTGTGCATAGGGCCACCATGCTATCTCTTTTCGTTGAATTTGTATTTGATTCCTACCCTTTAACTCTCTGGTTTGATGTAATAGATCTTTATATCTTACAATATTATCAAAATCTAAAACATTTGGATGTGTAACTGCCTCCATTGTAGATAACCACAGTGGGACCTTACAGTAATGTACTTTTTTATCTTTTCCCAAATATTTAGTAACACATTCCTTATATAATGCCTTTGAAAGTACAAGTGGTGTTTACTCTTTCCATCCCACATAAATGTGTGCCATCCAAGTTGGAAATCAAAGCCCTCTAATGTTAAGATCCTTTTATTTATCATATTAACCCAGTCTTTGAGCCAGGTTGCTATCGCAGCATAGTAATATGTTACGAAATCTGGAAGACCAAAGCCTCCTTTCTTTCTATCGTCCTGTAATAATTTATATTTTATTCTGGGTTTTTCCCCCTGCCATATGTTTATTTAGTTCTTCAAAAAAGCTTTTTTCCAACTTGACTGGCACCGTCTGAAATAAGAACCCATTGTTACAATCAGAGCTCCTGTCAAAAACTCCACAGCTTCACCACAACACTCAATTCGGAGCTTCCTTTACAGTATACACTTATATTCTGAAAATCATCTTTAAATACACCTTTTCAGTGCTCAGCCTGCTGTTTCCCTCTTTTCGCTTCTTTTAATCGGCTGGGCTGCTGCATCTCTGGTTCCGATCGTCACGGTTGACACGATTTCCCTCTTCTGCCATTGGTTTTCAGGGGGTTCTTCTTCCAGTTTCTGTGATCACAGCACCTCCCCAAGACCTCCATGTCTTCCCCTTTCTTTTGCCTACCCCTCCGGGGTCTGGCATGCTCCAAAAAGCCACCAACTAGCGAAAATCGGAATCTTTCAGAGCGGTGATCCGCTCCTTAGCTCCACACCGGCACAGCGCCCAACCACCAGATCCCTCTCTTATACCATATTTTCCCGAAAGTAAGACCCAACCAGAAAATAAGCCCTAACAGGATTTATTAGAATGCATCTAATATAAGCCCTACCCTAAAATTAAGCCCATTAAGAGTCAGCCCTGGGGGGGGGGGTGTAGCCAGCACAGAAGGCAGTGACTGTGAGATCCCAGTATAGCACCACCCCTGCCCCACCTCCTGCCTCTCCTGATCCATTTGGTGGTAGCACTGCACCACATCAACAAGGTTGCCAACAGAGATGCTGAGAAGGAGCACCAGGCTGCTCTGGCTAAAGGTTCTTTCCTGTTGATGGCTTGGGAGGGACTGAGAATTTAGATGAATTAATGGCTGCCTGAAATGTGCTTGTAGCAGCTGCTGGAAACAGAGTGGGCAGCCCCGCGCCTCTGCCTCCACCTGCTTCTGGTGCTGCCTGCAGCAGTCCGTTGCTTCAAGCAATCGGCAAGCATGTCGAAAGCAAAAAGCGGGACTCACTTGCCATCCTATGCACTATGGAAGGCAGCGAAACATAGAGAGGCTCTTTCTCCCTTTCAAAACCTGCCAGGACATGATCTGAATAACACCCAGCTTGACCTGCTACTGAAAGGCCTCCTAGCTCTTTCCTGAAGAGAAGGCAGCTCTTCTCTACATTTTGCTGACTTCCGCAGTGCAGGGGACAGGCAAGTTCCACTTTTCGCTTTTCACAGGCTTGCCAATCACTTGCAGCAACTGGCACAAGTGACTGCCCATGCTGCTACTGGCCTTGGGGTTCTTCACCCTCTTGGCAGTGTTGCTCTCAACTGCCCTGCTGGGCTGCTTCTGCCTGGCGCAGTGGGAGTTGGCCCAGATCTATGACCTCTGGAATGCCTCCCTGCTGCTGGCCTAACAGGGCCCCTTCACCAGCAGCTGCCAGTGAATCCGCGCCACCTCATCTGCTGCCAGCTTCGGGCTACTGAGTACCAGTGGGAACATCTACTCGATGCTGTAGGTGCTTGGCTACAAGTTGAGCCCGGCGCTCTTTGGGCCCCGGTCTTGGTAGGTGCTGCAGCTCTCGTGTTGACTGTATGTGGCGGATGTGGGGCTGCCCCTGGCCACCCTTGGCCTCTACCTCACCTGTGGCCGCTCTGCCACCAGCTGCAGCCACCATCTCACAAGGCGAGACAAGGCAGATGGGTGGGGGAGTGGAGCGGTGGGTATCTAGTAGGCAGAGGGAGGGGTGCTGTGCCTGGCCTGTGAGGTGTGTGGGGAATTCCAGCCTGAGGTACTGAAAGCTGCTAGGTAACAGCCAGGGCTTGGCGGGCTGGACGGAAAGCAAGGCAGCAACAGCAGCAGTGGCAGAGCACCCATAGATAAGATAGAGCCAAAAGGCAGCCAAGGGCAGCCTCCTACCTCACACACACCTACCTCACACAGGTGGCATGACAGCTGCAGAGTCCACCAGGGCCAAGGCCCAAAAAGTGCCAGGCTCAGCCCGTAACCCAGCACCTGCAGCACTCAGCAGCCCAGCACTCAGTAGCCCAAAGGCGGTAGTGGGTGAGGTAGCACAGCTCCACTGGCGGCAGGGCGGGTGCTCCAGAAGTCATAGATCTGGGCCAACTCGTCCTGCACCAGCACCAGACACAGCAGCCCAGCAGGGCTCCAAGAGCAGTACTGCCAGGAAGGCAAAGAGGGCAGCAGCAGCACAGGCAGCCACTCGATGGCCAGTGGCCAAGAAACATCTCAGCAACAGCAGGGCCAGCAGGCAGGATGGGCAGAGGCCAGGGCACACCAAAAACTTGGCACGTTGTGGCTGCAGAAAAGCAAATGGGACAGAGAGGGACAGCCTGGTGGTAGCAACACTCCCACTTCCGTTGGCTCCTGCACTCACTGCCTCCTGTACGTGGATAAAATAAGACATCCTCGAAAATAAGCCACAATGGGTCTTTTAGAACAAAAATAAATATAAGACTCAGCCTTATTTTCAGGGAAATATGGTATTCACACTTTGAAATATTAATATTATAGGGTCAGATGGTGTCCTGGGATTCACAATTCTAGTTTGAAATGCCAAAATGGGAGCGTGTGCCGGAAACCAGAAGAGCAACTCCCTGGTGCGCCACTCGGGAGCGCCAGAAACTGGAAGCTCAGCTTCACCTGGTCTTCCAGTTTCTAATGCTCATGCACACATGAAAACTAGTTGGCTGGTATGCACATGCGCACCCAGGAGCTGCTCTTCCAGTTTCTGGCACTCCTGTGAATGCAAAGACCAGCTGGCTGGCGTGCATGTGTGCACCGGAACCCAGAAGAGCAACAGGTGATGGCTGGTATGCCCAGAGAGATGGCTCAGTGTGGCACTTCTGGCACGTGTGCCATAGGTTCGCCATCACAGGGCTATAGCAACAAAAAAATGCTTTCTTCAATCTGAGTATTCTTCCTAATATTGGATAGTTTCTGGAGTTCTAATTGCTTTCTTACATGATTTTCCCAACTATTAGATTCCTTAAGTTCAAAGAGATATTGATAAATATTCACCTCTACAGGAAAGTTCTCCTTAGTGGTATCCACAAAAGGCTGGCAGTAATGGGGATCCAAGTATAACAGGAAGTCATCTAGGCATGAAGGGAAGTAGGAGGCAGAAATAAGCAATGCATCTTAGTATGACTATCTTCTACTTGAAAAAACTGCATTTGTCAGAAGAGGAAACATGGACTACGCAACATGCTCTTAGCTGCTTTTTCCATCAATTGGTTCACATGCCTCCTCTTTGAATTAGTCTGCTGCTTAACTGGTAGCAATTTTACAAATAGCTATTAACTTTTTTCCCATTTACCAAGGATACTTCTACTTTTTATTAGGTAAATGACAGGAGTTGCCTATATGCAGGCTTATTCTCCAAGTACAAAGAACTACTACTGCCTTTTTAGCTACAATCCATTCAGATCCAACTAGATAATTATTTCCTTTCTAAAAATAAACAGCTCCAAAAAATTAAAAATCCCTGCTTATTTACTTCTTTTTATATTGACCATTCTTCAAACCATACCTATGTTACCATATGCATTGTTGGTATTTCATTGCAACCACACTGACTTCAAATATCTAGGAAGGCTTTTATTTTTACTGGCTTACACCTTTTATTAGTTTAATTGCTCATTTTTAATCACACAAAACGAATGGTTTGGGTATTGCCAATAAATAAAAATGATGACATCAAGGCCTCTTGGAGCTGTAATGGATTGATTGGAAAAAGTGAACTTCCTTTTACTGGTTTGAGAAAGTAACAAGGATTGTCAGACATGGATTCTGCAAATTCAGCTGTGCTGGGTAAATTGCCAATTAAAATTTAACTCCATTATTCTGTTACTCATGTGTTTAGCAATCCAAACAAGCATAAAACCAAGAGTGTCATAATTACAAATGGAAGTTTCAGTCCAACAGGATTAGAGTGATAATATTTGAAATAATATTCAATAGGAAAAACATGTAAATTTTATTACTGTTATACTGGTAATTACAGTGTAAAGTTTATACCATTACAGAAGTTATTGTATATTAAGAATTTGGGTAATAAATTTACTGGTTATATAGCTTAGTGTAGAAGCTAGAAAAGCTGATTTGGCTCAACCTATTATTAAGAGGGAAAATAGATTAGAGATTTCTGAGGCTCACAGTAAAATTGATTACCTTGATATCCGACAAAGTACAGTGAATGTTTTGGTTTCCCTCCAATAATTCCAATGCAGAAATCTAACTTCAACAGCTCCTGTAGGATAAGGTTCAGAATTCAGGAATTCCACCAAATCTTTGTTCCTTTCCTAGCTGTGATATTCAACTCCCAGTACTTATCTACAATGACTAGGAGAGAGACTATCACTTTTCAACCACAAATGTACAAATGTAGGAAAAGACAATGTAAGTGGTAAGAACTGGAAAAGCTGATAATTCAGTCTACTGCTATTCCTGATTTGCTGATTTTGTAAGAGCAATTTTCTTGTTTTAGTTAAACAACTGGGAATACATACAAGGAGATTCCAGAAACCATCTCCTACAGACATTGTACAGTTCTGCTTACAGAATATTGCAACTTTGAGACACAATCAATATAGCCTTTTCATGCAATCAGCTGGAAAAGAATGAGACATCAACATGGATTATATGTGAACCCCAGTATCCCACTATTTGCACCTGTTCTCAAGTCACCTTGATGCACTCCACATAGGCAGGATTAAAAGTCTCTCCACCCAGCCGCATGGGCACCAGGATAATGACTGCTTTCCATTCTGCCTCAGGATCCCATGGAGTCCTGCTGTTATTCTTCCTGGCTAGGTTTCCCACATCCCCTTTGTACACTATGGGGATATGAGAGAAGAGAATTCAGTCATAAACTATATGGACAAAAAGCTAGTTAAATCCCTTTGACTGTCCTGAGACTTGAGCCCAGGACAAACCTGTCCAATTCCCACTTCTCCAAACTTACCTGTGCAATCCTGAGAAACATATATTACCAGATTGCCTGCTTCAATAGAACAATCCACTGCTTTCCTACAGGAACAAAATAGCACACTTCAGTGAAATAGTATCCTTGTCAATTTTTCACAGTTCAGGTGGTTGTCATGGGAAGGAGGATGGAGAGTTGACAAATAGTAAACTTATTAATGGAAAAATTTCCTTGCTGGGGAAAAAGGAAATTGGGCTCAGTTTGGGATAGCATAATGATGTAGGAGTCAGAAAAGCTTCCAAGATGCCATAGCTGCCCTAATACATAAAATTGTGAACCTTTTATCATTTTAATGTTGCTGATCACAACTCACAGAAAACTGAATCAGCATGGGATGGCATGCCAGGAATTCTAGTCTAGCAGCATAGGTTCCCCATTCATAAGAAATATTTGGCTTGCAAGGTGACAGCTTCTGAAAGATTCAGATGCTAAAGAAATGTCAGATTTGCCATGTATTGCCTTTCTCAACTTTTTCATAATTAATGATGCAATTCATCAAGGACAAGAAAGCCAGCAAAGTTCTATTGTTATTCTTTTCAACAAAATTTAACCCCTGCATTCTAAGCAGGTGTTTTAAAGACACAGATCCAGCAGGTCCATTTAGTACTTTAGTTAATCATTCTGAAAACTTGTGATAACAGAATTTGATTATCCCTGGTTGTGCTGTCAAAAAATTCCCAAAATAAGAACATGGAGCATTCTTGGCAGAGAACCTAACTCCCACATAGCTAGCTGGACACCCAACAGAATACTGAAATAATTAGGAGCTTGCAAAATGTTTCAATGTTAACCATTTGAAACACCCACTTTTTAAATTTGAAATAAATTATTTCAGTCACTGAGAATACTCAAAACACTACCAAAGTCATTGAAACAGACTATTTCAGATGAAGACCAGCTATTTCAAATTAAAATTATTTTGAACTTCAAATGGGATATTTTCATTTTAAAATTGTTAAATCCAAAGTGGTCTGTACACAATAAACCTCCCAACTTAACTACCAACAAACAAACCAGAATATCCGCCCATAAAGACTCCCACTGAGAGAGTGTTAATGATCCCCAAACCTGTTCTTCCTCATCTCTATAATATAAATTCATTCAGATACCAATTACTCACCTGAGGATGTGGGCAGTAACAGAAGGGCCATACCAATCTCCAGCTTTCTTCCCTGAATTATGCCCAAGATCAACTAGTTGGTGGATCCCAAAGGGTGCTTGTGGCTGATCTGCAAACCATGAAATAATCTTACGGTGGTAGCATTCCTTCTCCAGTTCATCAGATCTGCAGGTATGCCGATGAGCCCACAACTCCCAGGGTCCTATAGTCCTATTAGTGGGGATGGATGAAGTTTGGTGCAGATGGGAGATGCTGGGACAGGGTAGAGAGGCAACTTTCATGGGCTGCATATTTGTCAAATTGGTAGTGATAAGGACATCTGACCAGGTCCAGTCTGAAAAGTGAAACACAAAATCAAGAAAAATAAGAAAGGATAGCAAGCCATCCAATTCCCCAAAGCCCATAGAAATTAATTAAGGTATCACTTATTCACTCAATAGCAAACACATTGTAACAAACTGTATATGTGGATACCATACCTGCTGAAGTTGACTAAATTTTGGTTGGTGGAAGAATCTGTATCATAAATGGTGAGCTACTCAAATTTTCTATTATTATGCAAATGTCTTCTGTTGATCTCTGGAAGATGACAAATCCAAAAAAACTGTTATGACCCAGATGGGCAAGACTAGGCAGGCCTCTTGAGAGTCTTTTATTTCTCCTGGAAAGAGTTAAACAATTGACCCTCCACTGACTGGTCAGGATCCACCCTCCCACAAATAACAGCCCATAAATTATCCGATCAGTTCACAAAGCAAAAGTCCAGAAAGAAAGCAAGGGCAGTACTCAGAGCAAGGTAAAGGTCCAAGACAAGGCGCAGTTTTCCCAAAGTGAAACAACAGACAAACGCAGTTCACAATCAAGGACACAGGTCAAACGAAAAGGCCAAGAGCACTTCTCGAAACAAGATGGGATCCAAGGCAAGGCAGGTCTGAAAGGAGAATCTTTAGGGCAAGCCAAGGACAGTCCTCAAAACAAGGCAAAAACAAATCTTCAAAACAAAGCAGCCAGAGTCACAGCTGAGTGTAATCTGAAAACTAACACTTATTCCTGGCAAAAGGAATAGGTAGCTATAGATATGCTTCACGAACGGTTTTGCAAGTTTTTTTGTAGATGGAAGTCCTTTACAGGATGTAAAGTGAGCCTACTTAAAGAATAAGTCAATACCAGTCCAAATGATCTTATTCCCGCCACTCTCAGGTAATTCTACGATAAAGTCCATTGCAATTTCTTCCCACGGCTGTGTTGGTTCAGCTACTTGTTGGAGGAGGCGAGGGGGTTTACCAGTTCTGTGTTTCATTGTGGCACAAATTGAGCAGTTTTTCACATAGTCCTCGACATCAGGTTTCATTTTTGGCCACCAGAATTGTCTTCTGATTAAATGTAGGGTTTTTAAGAAACTGAAATGTCCCCCCAATTGTGAGTCATGGCTATACTTTAGTACCATTAGTCTTAGATTTGCGGGTACATAAAGTATAGTCTCTTTCCAAGTCAGTCCCTCATTCATTGTCAATTCGGTTTGATGCTCCACAAACCAGGGATCCGTCAATAAGGCTGCTTTCAACTCAGTTGTCATTTTGTCTTCCAGGAGTCAGGGGTTGCGGTTGGCTTGGCCTCGGTTACTTGGTTACTTGGGCTGCCAATCGAGCTCTGATATCATCGTCTGCACTACTTCCTCTTGGCAACTGTCAAATTGGGGTTTCCTTGACAGGGTGTCTGCCAATATGTTTTTCCCTTCGGGGATATATTTCATGTTGAAGTTGAACTGCTTGAAATATTGAGCCCAGTGGACTTGTTTAGGTGATAGCTTCCAAGATGTCTTTAGAGCCCCGAGGTTCTTGTGATCAGTCCACACCTCAAACGGCTCCATCACCCTGTTGTGACTGGAAGGATTGATCCTGCTGGGAGTTTTGACTCTGATGTCTCTGAAGATGGAAGGTTTGAGCCTGCTGTGAATGTGGAGTCTGAATTATCAGAGGACACAGATGTGAGCCAGGAGGATGAGAGAGTGTCGGAGAGACAGTCCTCTCCAGAACCTTCGACTTCGTTCATGCCAGCAGCTGATCCACAAAATGAGTCAGAGGCTTCGAGCGAGGAAGAGACTGACAGATGTTGGCTTGATGCTAGGACTAGGAGAAGATTGAAACGTCAGTTACAATCGGAAAGGAGACGTCAAGCCAGGCATTGATTAGAGAGACTGACATGCCCATCCAGGGGATTTAAGGAGGCGTGCTGACTCTCAATCTTTGCTTGGAGCAAAGTGCTTTGTAGATTTGAAAGAATACGTTTGAAGCGGCCATTGTGATTTATGGACAATTCCGAATTGCCAGACAGATTCCAGGAAGACTGCCAAGAACTGGGAAACAGTGCAGTTAACTCTTTTGGGTCTGGCTTTGTTTCGCTTGAAATATTTGAACTCTGGAACTTTGTATTCTCACCTGTAGATACTTCTAGGAAATGCCTCCAAATCAACAAAGCCCATCGCACTGCAAATGCTTCTTTCTCCCAGACTGCCCATCTTTGCTCTGTGTCTGTCAGCTTTTTGGAGACATAAGGGCAAGGCATCAGTCGGTTCTGAGAGTCCTATTGGAGAAGAATGGCTGCAACTGCCACATCACTAGCATCAGCTTGGACTATAAAAGGTCTGGTCGGGCCAGAAGTGTGCTGTGAACTGCACCCCCTGGTCAGACACTACAGGGTCCAGTAGACCATGTAGCCAAAACACATGGGCAATGAACAGATGTATCATTGTCCGAGTGGTAGGGAGACCTGCATATAGGATAAAATGGGCCATCTTCATGAGCATGTCCATGATCACCAGTATCATGGCACCCTTCGATGGGGGCAAATCCGTAATGAAATCTAATGAGCCTGCCCCCACAATCTCGCCAGCATAGGTAATGGCTGCAACAGACCGGGGCGCACCACTGGCATATTTGGCTGTCAACGTTGCCCACATAACATCACATATCCTGACATGTCATGCCAGAGTCACAGCCACCAAAATGTCCTAGAGACGTGGTGCAACATCTTGAAGACCCCAAAGTGCCCCACTGCTGGACTGTGGTGACATTGTCTCAGGATACTGCCATGGAAGTCCCACTCAGGAATGTAGTCACTAAAATGCAACAGGTCCTCCATGTAAGTCCAAGGGATCTCATTTTTCCCATTGCAAGCCAACTCACAACGATGAGTCACCACAAACAGATCCTGTTGCTGCGCTTTGCGAATCCTGACCCGTAGGTCCATGGACTCCTCGGTGGCCATGAACCATTCCAAGCGAATAACCGTTCTGGCCTTAATCTTCTCCTCCTTTTGGATGAACTTGGGCTTGCAGAACAGCGCATCCGCATGCTGATTCTGCATGCTAGGGACATGTCACCCTAAAGTCGAACCTTGCGAAAAACAGTGACCATCGCACCTGGTGCTGGTTCAGCATCCTGGCAGTCTGTAGATGTTCTAGGTTCCAATGGTCAGTTCGAACCACAACTTTGTGGCATGCCCTCTCCAATTAGTGCCACCATGTTGACCATCAACACCTCCTTGTCCCATATGTCATAACTCTTCTTCAGCACCATGGGAACAAGGTGCTTGCAGGGGCATCAGCCTGCAGGAGCCTGCCCAGATGGCCCCATCTGATGCATCCATCCGCACAGTCTTAATGGATCGGGATGCTTGAAGATGGGCTCAGAGGTGAAGGCAGCCTTAATGTCATCAAAGGCCCCCTTGCTCCTCAATGTCTCAATGGAACTTCACCTCTTTCTTTAACAGATTGGAAAGGGGAGCAGTCTGGGTAGCAAAGCGGGGAAAGAATGTGCAGTAATAGACATGGTTTTATAAACTTATAAAAATAGGGAGGTGTACATTTCTATGATTTTGTTTTGTAATACTTACTTGATCAGCTTATGCGAGAGAGACCAGATCAAGAAACTGACTCCATAGGAAGACTACAACTACAAAATTGTTGACATAGGCTACAGTAGCAGAATCCTGCAAGCCTGGAAGGTAAAATATTTTACTTTTCCTCCCTTTTATAACCTTCTGAGTCAAGGACAGCCCCTTGGAACACTCTGGAGGCCCCATCTGAGCCTGGAAGGTCTCCTGGAGCATTCCATAGGCTCTGTTTTGCACCTGGAAGACCTCCTGGACCACTCTAGAGGTCATGTTTTGGGTCTGGAAGGCCTCCTGGACAATTGTGCAGACTCTGTTTTGGGCCTGGAAGACCTCCCGGAGGACTCTGAAGGCCAAAAGCGGTTGTAGGGGTCTGTGTGCCCCACCTGCGCCCCATTTTTGCGAGCAGAGGCACCGCGGGCCAGTCCTTTGCTATTTCCAGACTGGTCCCGTGGGCCAGATCTAAGCATCCCGCCTTGAGTTTGACACCCCTGCTCTGGAAGAACACATCAAACTAGCATGCCACGTCTTGAAAAAACTCTTAGCTATATAACTGTTAAAGACTGAGGGGAGGGGACTCCTATGCCGTGACCTAGCCAGCCACTGGCTTTGACCCTAGACTGTCGGCAGGCTTTCAAAGAGCTAAAGAAACTGTTCGCTGAGGAGCCCATCCTCAGCACTTTGTTGTCCAGGTTGATGCCAGTGACATGGCTGTGGCAGCGGTGTTACTGCAAGCTAATGCTCAGGGTCAGCTGCAGTCCTGTGCCTATACATCCAATAAACTCACCAACATTGAGAAGAGGTGGGCCATGTGGGACAAAGAAGCCTATGCAGTCTGATTGGCCCTCCTTACTTGGAGACACTTGCTAGAAGGAAGCCAGGTGCCATTTGAGGTTTGGACTAACCACAAAAACCTAGGGGCACTGTAAATGCCCCGTAAGCTCTCACCTTTCCTCACAACCAGCAGCCCAAGCCAACACGAGAAGCTAAACCCGGTGCTGTGACAATTTTGGAGGAGACCCGATGGTGGGAGCATTGAAGGCAGTGCTCCCTGCAGATCCATGGCTAAACAACAACAGACACACTGACCCTCAAGGATGGACTAGCCTGGAAAGGGACCAAGTTGTACATCCCTGCCACCTTAAGACTCCAAGTCCTGCAGCACAGCCATGATTCCAAACTTGCAGGGCACTTTGGTTACTTAAAGACCCTGCACCTGACTAGGTGACAGTTCTGATGGCCCAAGATAAATGTAGATGTGGAGAGCTGTGCCACCTGTGCTACTATGAAGAGACCTGAAAAGCCCTCGGGTCTCCTCCAACAAGTGGATGACCCAAGTTGTCCCCGGGAAGAAATCACCATGGACTTCACAGTCGAGCTCCCAGAGAGTGGCAGGAACATGGTCATTTGGACCGTGACTGACCTATTTTCAAAACAAG